ATTATGTAAGAGATCTTCAAAATGCCCTTTAAGAACATTTGTGAGCTTAAATAAAAAAAAAATAATTAACAATTATTGTAATCTCGAATATCTCGGAAACGGTTTATTTTATCGAAGTTTGAGAGGTACACCTTTTTAATGGTAGCCGAACTGTGTAATCGAAAAATTGTATCAAATGTTATAAAAACCTAACCTTAAAGTTTGTATGGGACAATCAAGTTAAAGCAACCCCCTTTTCTACGACACTGTGTTTACTCAAACAATTGTAATTATGTGTGAATATGTGTTTTGGTAGTAAGTGACTGTTAGCAAAATATCCCGTTTCCAAGACTACCATAGTCAAAGTTATATTAAAAAAACTGATATGATAGGTAACACTTTATCACCCTGTATGTTGGAAACATAAGTAATTAGGAAAAATATTTATTTAGATTTTCGTCTTATTTTGACTTGCTTAATCTTTTCCTAAAGTTATGCCAATAAGTTTAGGGACACCTTGTATATTGACAATCCCAATTGGGATTTATTAATAAACCTAAATTTTTTAAAACCATAAAACTCCATCAATAATGGAAATAAAAAGGTTTATAAAAAAACGAAATAGGTCAATAATTGGGTCATTTTCAAGAAACACCCGCTTTCAGGAAAATGAAGATCAAAATATTTTTTTTGCTTAAATTGACTTTTGGTTGGATTTTTATAAATGTTTAGAGTTTTGTTTACTTACATTTAAGACGGGCAGTGCACTTTTTAATTTTTTTTACGTTTTTTTCAGAAAAATGTGTTTAGCTAGCTTTATATATATATATACCATTTTGAAATCCAAAATTTAATTCAATAAAAAAAGTTGTTATAAAAATAATTTGAAATAAAATATACTTAGTTCACAAACTTTTGACTCCAATTTTTTATTTTATTTTTTATTAAAAATTGTATGCTTTTTTTAAATATGTATGTTCGTTAAGTTACTTTTTAAAAGAAACCATTCCGATTCTTTGTTAAAAAAACAATACCATTAATATTTTCTTTTAGTCACTGTATAAGTGAGTTAAACTCTAATTAAATTAAATTAAATTAAATTTTATAAACACGTAATACCATGTGATAGTGTGTAAAAATCATTTTAAGTATTTTTTTTAACAAAAACTAAAAAAAGTAACGAAATACACATTGGTATCACAACGGACTGGGGTACACAAAGGACTTCCGATATCGTAAAAAAGAAACTATATAGGGTGGTACGATTTTAGAGTAATGCATAAAAAAATCCCTTGTAGTGGTGCTCACTTGCACAATAACAACTTAGATTTCTAAATTGTAGACACCCTTTTTCTTTGACTATAAGCTGGTGAAGGTCTTGCGTCCCTTTTAGTACTTGTATATTGCGTGGAATTTTCCCTTGGGTGTAATCTATGTCATGAGTTGTAATCACAAATAATTTTAAATTGGTTTATCATAAACTATTTTTAATAAAAGCGACGGTAAATATCCACTTTGTTGTCGAAAAATTCTATTGCGTTACCCTAAATTCCATTGCGTTACCATAAGGTAACATAATGGACTCGTTAACGCAGTGTAAAAAGTTTTGTGAAACCACTTTTATTAAAAATAGTTTATGATAAACCAATTTAAAATTATTTGTGATTACAACTCATGACATAGATTACACCCAAGGGAAAATTCCACGCAATATACAAGTACTAAAAGGGACGCAATACCTTCACCAGCTTATGCATATTTAAAAAATAATAATAAGACTTTACAGTCATTAATTACTCTGAATGAGCTTTGGTGCCCTAAAATAAACATAATCATGAAAAATAGTTTTTTTTCTTACCTTATTTTTATTATTTTTTTGAGTAACTTAGCGGACAAACAATTATTACATTCGCGTTACCCGCACCTGTTTCAACCGATATCTTCTTCCTGATTGAATAAATAAATTCAGCTGGGTAATGTGTACGTCCGAACATCATTTGTGCATCACGTAAGTGCCAAAAAAGTTGCCATATATATGTTTTTTAAGATTCTATCGGTAACGCGACGGACGTAACGCAACGGAAGAAATGTCTGGGACATGAGTCAAGTATACCTATTAAAACTAATTATTTTATATATAAATTGTTTATAAACAGTATACTGTTTTAACTAAAGACGTTATGGATTGCTATAAAGCAACACAAAGTTCTGGTTATTCAATATTTAAAAATAAACATGTATGTAAGTTTTATAAAACGCTAATGGGACATTCGAAAATGTGTGTTTCACAAAAATTATTCTGAAATATCTAAACAAACATTTTCTGAAAGAGTTTACTAAGGGCTTGTTAGGCTTTCACTTGGTTTTTAAATCAATAAACGACCCATGTATAAATAGTTTCTTTATACCTCAATAATAATAATTATTTATAACTAAATACCATTTTTTATACCTTAAATGAAGTATTTTTATTAAAAATAGTACAATAATCCTTCAAATTAAAAATGGATATGTCCCCGACTGATGTTGCCAGAGCCATTAATTTAATCCAGGATGGACGGTCACAGTTTTACGTGGCAAGTGTTTTAAACGTCACAAGAAGTAAAGTACAAAGGGCAACATCAGTCGGAGACATTTTTAAAAGTAAGAAGACACCTCAAAATTAACACATTAATTTACAAAAACAATTTGATAGCTTTTAAAAGCTGTATATGACATGTCCAAGTATGGGATGATTCAACAAAACTGTCACTGTCAGGCTATGTTCTTCATACAGGAAAAATATTGGAAATTGCAATGTTTTTTAAAAAAAAATCCATATTTTCCACAAAAATAAATATATCAAGGTGAACCAAAAACTGTTAAAAATATATGTGACTTGATAATTAAAACTTAATTTAGAACAATATATGGTTTTGCCACTCTACAGAGTGTCTTAAACTTATGGTAAAAAACATATTTTTGTTTAAACCTGTATATTATAAACGTACGTGTATTTTTTAGTAATTTTTAAAAAGTGAGCGATTCTCCATTAATGTATATACAATATTCTTTAATATTTGTTTTAATCCGAAATTAAATAAAAAAGTTATTTGCGATTGAAATTCATCGAAAATTTGTTTGGATCAATTATTTTGTCTGTGAGTGTCTGAAAAAATGTTTTAGACAAAATCCACCTATTTTTAGATAAATGATCAGAATCTGCAATAAAAAATAGGTTGTTCCATTGGAAATTTTAAAGTTACCCCCAGTTCCCCCTATAAGGAGGAGAGTATGAGGACCAATTTTAGAACTGATTGATTTCCCCCTTCCAACATTTAATTTTTATTTTAAACATTTTTCCGTAAAATGCATACTAACTGAGATATTTCAAAGTTTCAAGTTAAATGACACCCTGTATCACCCTGTAACATTTTTCTTGATATTTTTTCTTTTGAATAGATTTTGTTTAAAATGTGATGTATTGGAACTTTTAATTAGGTATATCTTTTAATCTTTAGACACTATTTTAAAATCTTTTGCTGTAATTTATTAATTCTCATGAGGATATGGGTCGTTTTCAAAAAACACCCGCCTTCCGCTGTCCGTAAGTTTGAATTCCAATAACTTTGTTAAAAATTATCGGATCTTATTGATTTAAAAACCAAGTGAAAGCCTAACAAGCCCTTAGTAAACTCTTTTAGAAAATGTTTGTTTAGTTATTTCAGAATATTTTTTTTTTAATTTTGAAACTTGTGAAACATACATTTTCGCATGTCCCATTAGCGTTTTATAAAACTTACAAACATGTTTTTTTTTAAATTTTGAATAACCAGAACTTTGTGTTGCTTTATAGCAATCCATAACATCCTTAGTTAATAAAGTAAACAATTTATATATAAATTAATTAATTTTAATCTTCTTTTTTAAATTTGACTCATGTCCCAGACATTTTTTCCGTTGCGTTACGTCCGTCGCGTTACCGATAGAATATTTAAAAAAACATATATGGCAACTTTTTTGGCACTCACGTGATTAACAAATGATACTATTTTTCATGTTTATGTTAATTTTAGAGTAATTAATGACTGTAATGTTTTATTATTATTTTTTAAATATGGTTTCACAAAACTTTGTCCACTGCGTTACCGAGTCCACTACGTTACCTTATGGTAACGCAATGGAATTTAGGGTAACGCAATAGAATTTTTCGACGACAAAGTGGATATTTACCGTCGCTTTTATTAAAAGTGGTTTATGATAAACCAATTTAAAATTATTTGTGATTACAACTCATGATATAGATTACATCCAAGGGAAAATTCCACGCAATATACAAGTACTAAAAGGGACGAAAGACCTTAGTCAAAGAAAAAGGGTGTCTATAATTTAGAAATCTAAGTTGTTATTCTGCAAGTGAGCAACACTACAAGGGATTTTGTTTATGCATTACTCTAAAATCGTACCATATAGTTTCTATAAATATTTAAAAAAGGCATACAATTTTTAATAAAAAATAAAATTGTAGTCAAAAGTTTGTGAACTAAGTACATTTTATTTCAAATTATTTTTATAACAACTTTTTTTATTGAATTTAGTTTTGGATTTCAAATTGGTAACACAGTGGAGACATATAAGGCTAGCTAAACACATTTTTCTGAAAAAAAAATTAAAAAGTGCACTGCCTGTCTTAAATGTAAGTAAACAAAACTGTAAACATTTATAAAAATCCAACCAAAAGTCAATTTAAGCAAAAAAAAAATTTGATCTTTATTTTCCTCAAAGCGGGTGTTTCTTGAAAATGACCCATATACAACAGTAGTTTATGGGCTGTAAACGTAGAGTTGAAACTAAACTAAGTAAATTCTAAATTACTTAACGCAAGGACGTAAAACATGTTTGTGCACAAATAAGTTTCCCTCGGAAAATCCATCCAATACGTGGATAATATCCACAGGATATGCATTTTGCCGATCGGTAGCTGGCGCCATCTCTCATTAATTTTTCAGCTACGCAAAAGCTCAGTCATGAACTGCGCGAGCTTTTGAAGCCTGAAAATAAAGCTTTCAGCTTCAGCTCGTATCAGTTGAGCGCCCTCCTCGAAACAGTCGACATCATGTCCTTGCACGATGTTTGTTTTTCGTCGCGGCATATTATTGTCATTCTCTCATTTATTATTGCAGCTCACGCCAGAGCCGTAAGTATATTTAGTACACATTAGTTAACTCACATGTTAATGGCACACAACCGTTAGTTAGTTTATATAAAAATATTATTTATGTAGACTCTTCTTCTTTTTCGTTAATTGCAAATTTATTGCGAAGAAGATTGAATTCACTGTTACAGTAGTAATAAATAAAAACCAAAACATTTGATACCAAATAAAAATTATGTTACTTTGTTGGCGAATTATTTTTTAATTAAAATCTAGGTGTGTTATTAAAACAAACAGATATGTTATACAAACTGACATTTATGGAAACAAACAAAGGTAACATGTTACATTTATTAATTATTTATTATATTTTATTGACACTAGAATACACTGCAGAGCTAAATCATAATTTATTATTCTGTGTAGTTTTATCTAAATTATTAAGGAGCGTGTTAGCTGTATGTACAGGGTTTTTTAATAATGTAGAGGCATTTAAAAACGTTTTACAATAAATAAAAATGGCACCGGGAGTAATTATTAAAAATTGTTTTTTAATGTATGCATAGTAAAAATGGTGAAATAATAAGAAGTGACTTAATTTGATAATCAAAAGTTTAATAAAATAGTCAATGGTTTAGCATACGAGGTGTGTTCAGAAAATATCGGGAATTTTCGTTTTTTGAAACAAATATTTATTTATTCGTCTACATTAATGTTGTCGCCTTCAAAAAAGTCCCCATTGGATATTATGCACATGTGCCAGCTCTTCTTCCAATACTCGAAACACTTCTAAAACTCGATCTTTGGGATAGCCTTTAGTTCTTTCAGCGATGCGCTTTTAATGTCATCTATGCTTGCAAAACGACGGCCCTTTAAGGTTCTTTTTATTTTTGGGAATAGGAAAAGTCAGACAGAGGCATGTCTGGCGAATATGGAGGCTGGGGCATCATTACAGTATTGTTTTTGGCCAAAAATTTTGTTCAAAATTTAACAATTCTAGCACAAATTTTGCTGCCACGCGTTTCATACCCAAAACATTCGAAAAAATTTCATGGGATGAGCCAATCGATATACCAACATCATCAGCGACTTCTCTGATGGTTTATAACCATTTCTTTCACTTTTTCCATGTTTTTATCGGTTGTTAATGTGCTTGTGCGTTCGGGGCGTTCGTCATCTTCAACATCTTCACGGCCACCTTGGAAACTCTTATGGGCGAATTTTCGTTAAATGTACATTTTGTATACATATTTTGTCCAGGCAGGTCAATTTGATCGATTTTTTTTCCTTTGTGATAGAACAGTGTAATATACTGCAAAAAAATTCTATAAGTTTATAAATAACAAAAATAAACTTTATAAAAAAAAAACTTATAGGGTTAATCTGAAATAGGGAAGGAAGACAAGGAAGAAATGAAACATTGTCCTCCTCCTAACGCATCTTCCTTAACGTTTTATGACACATTGCTTTTGACTTTTTCAAACGTTATTTTTCAGAAATACTGTTAAATGTAAAAATCTTTCGGCATTTGTTTGGAATTTCTACTATGCTTTAATACAAAATGAATATAAAAAAGTTAACTTTCAAAACAAGAGTTGTATGTAGCGTTTTGTAAAAGACACCAAAAGTGTACGCAAAAAAATCTTACCTTTAAAATATTTACAAAAAAATTCACACACTTTACACGTGCTCACTTGTTGTTGCCGAACTATCAAACATGTATGCCCTCTAGAAATAACATGATAGTATCTCTATCTCGTGTCTCTATTTCGAAGCAGTCGGCATAGAAGACGACGTTAGGAAAAAGACAAGATTTTTGAATGTCAACTTTAATATTTTTTCAGTTTAAACTACTTTGTAGAAAACTATTTTATTTTTATATACGAATAAAAGAACTTTCCATTGTTCAAAAATAATTTATTTTTTCAGAAGAAAGCTGCAAAGAAGAATAATATAATAATTTAAATTAAAAAATCGCCTCTGGGGACAGTTAGGTTACAGGACATTTCAACTAGTTTTTCTGCCATATATAGAAACACAAAGTAATTAAAAAACAAAATACGATGGGTCCTAACAGGAAGGGGGTATTTAAATATAATAAATACAAAACTTATCAACAAAGGTCAAAAATAAAAATAAAATTAGCTGGGGACAGCAAATGTACATTTAACGAAAATTTGCCCTTATACCACTTGTAAACTCTTGTTTTACCTATAGCAGACTCACTATAGGCCTTTGTTAATTTCACAGAATTTATTTCATTTTTTAAGCAAAATTGGATACAAATTCTTTAATCCATTTCTTTTAACGAACGAAAAATCGCCGAGCTCATAAAACACGTCTAACCTTAGCGGCTGCCACAGACAAAGTAAACAATGAAAACAGCTAACATTTTATCATACTTCGGGGGCATGTATACCAACATAATAAAGAACATTTTATGACAACCAGACCCTCCAAACCCGCGAAATTTAACAATTCCCGTTATTTTCTGAACACACCTCGTACAGTGTCAAAAATAGTGAATACGCCGGGATTATTTCACATAATATGTACATAATATGTACACTCATGGAATCTTGTTAATGCACTTGGTCAATAACACTAGTTTACAAAATCGAAAAAAAATTCTGCCCACCATATTCCATTATAATTTTTCCATGTATTTTGACCCAGTAAACACGAAAATCACAAAAAAAAATTATGGAAGCGTTTTTGAAATATAATTTTCATTGTTTTTTTTAATTTTTGGAGGTTTTGACGTTTTTGAGTATAACTTGAAATCCAATTGATCGATTTGGTCAAACAAGCCCTTAAATTTAAGGTATTTGAGCCCTCTAAAACTTTCTTTTACATACTTTTGATATCGGATAAGTATTTTGACGCTAGCGATTTTAATAACTTAAAAAATTTGTTTTTATGGCGAAAATTGAGGTAGAAAATTTTTATATCGTCCTGGGAAAGGTTTAAATCAAACAGATAACTCTAGTTTGGATTTTTTTTCGTGAAGCTGACATTTTTACAAAAAAAACAAGCTAATGTTGATAAAAATACATGGAAAAATGGCGAAGTTATGAATTTTTTAGTGGAAGACCAAAATTCAGCTTTTTGACGATTTTTATTTTATTTTTTTTCTTTTTTTATGGCCATATGCACAAACCATAACTTAATTAAATCCATTGATTAGCTTAACATTTAGCACAGTAGTTCTTTATATAACACTTAATTCAAGAAAATGTATTTTCTTTAACCAAATAATTGGTTGTTTTAAAGCAAGAATATGTTTTTTAATAAATTAGTGATATTCTTAAATAAAAAAGATTCTTAATTCAAGAATAAATTTTCTTAAAACAAAAACATGTGATAATAAGGCAATAATTTTCTTAAATCAAGATGTTTTCTATATCCCAATATTTTTTTAATTAATAGATTTAAGATTTAAAATTTTATTTCATTGATTACAAAATATTATTTATTTTAAAACAATGCAAGAAGTATTGTTAAAAATAAAATGTATCTATCTTAATTTTAAGCTACTTTTAGCAATGTTTAAAAAAATCTATCATTTTGTATTTAAAATCAATAAAATTTTAAATAATGAACGTCTATTAACTAAAAATTATTTATTTTAATAATAAAAACATCTTTATATTTAGGAATATTATTGCAAAAAAAATAAAATTTAAAATAAAAATACCTCTAAACACTTGAAGGGGGACTGGAGTAATTTTAAATAACCTGTAATTTTTTAAGGATTGTTGTCTAATCTTAAACAAAATTTTATATTTAGTTACGGATTATTCATAATTGAGCCAAACTTACTGAAGGGCCAAATTATACGTTGTATCGTTTCTGGGTGGTGCAGTAAGCAAAAAAATTTAGGTTAGAAAATAAAAAAACAAACGATGAACAAACACATTTATTTTGTTTTTAATACAAGAAAAATCTAAAATGTATACATTATTATAAATTAACACAGGGAACTTAATCATTATTATCGACATAATTTGTAATATTTTAGGCATAGTAGAAAAGCAATTACCAATTTTATAAAATAATTTAGGGCTATTGCCAATGAACTCCACCCTATATGAATCAAAATTAATGTTATACCCCAAAGTGTGTAACAAAATTACTTCTAAAATAAAATCTTTTTAAATTAAGTTAAACTTAAAATTATAGAGCTATATAAATCAGAGTGTTAAACACATAAGATATTTTGGTTATTACTGCAAAGCCTATTTATTTATGAATAAAATAATTTTAAGGCACCCTTAATTCATATTAGTAAATATTTAAACAATAAACCTACCTACCTACACGTAAATGCGACGCTAAATTTAAAAAAGGATGGTATATCAATAACAACTTACTTACATTCAATTTTTTTATAATTTCCTTCGATGCTGACCACTCTTCTAATAGTTTTTTAATGAAATAAACCCTCTCCCTCACAAAGAGAAAGAAACATTGCATTATTAGGCATACAATTTCAGAGGAACGTGTCGGCATCTCCACTCGTACACGATTTCAAAAATATGTATTCTTGGCAAAAGAAAATACTGTTTATTAAAACGAACAAAAAAATGTAAGAATATCTAATTCTTGATATAAAAAAATTAAACAAATAAAAAAAATAAAATTATCTTATTCTTGATATAAAAAATATTAACAATTGTACCAAGAAACCAACTAAGATTTCCTTCAAGAATATTTAATATTTGTATTGAAACATGCAACTTTTTAAAACAAGAAATGTTTCTTAATATTAGAATATTTCCAAAACCACAAAATTCTTTTTTAAAGAAGTTAAAAATTTTTAGTTGAAATATATATTCTTATTTTAAAGCATGCTAGGAAACTAAAAAGGTACTAAAAAAAGCATTTTAGGTTAAAAAAAAACAGCATTTTAGGTAAAAAAAAAACATTAAAAGTTCAATTCAATTCAAAAATTTTGTTTAGCCGCATACCCAAACACAGAACATACCCACAATAAACTATTTATATGCAATAAACTGTGTTTCACTGAGTGACACTCACTACACAGAAGTTCTATGACAGAACATAAGCTCCTTACAAAGAAGGTAACTGTAAAGAAAGTTACTGTTACAGTCTGTGACCATAAGAAAAAATTCTATACCGTTGAGTTGCACGCCCTGGATAAAATATTAGCGCAAAATTTAAAAAGAGCACAAAAAAATAAAATAAGTAAAAATACGTAAAAATAGGTAACAAATACTTAGGTGAAAATAAACTGACAAATTAAAAAATATGTAACAAAAGTATAAAAAGGTAGTTTAAAGCAAAAACCTCCAAAAAAGATAAAAAAAGGTGAAAACAAGTTAAAAAATAGGTAACAAAAGTATAAAAAAGGTAGTTTAAAGCAAAAACCTCCAAAAAAGGTAAAAAAGGTGAAAACAAATTAGGTTCATATAAAAGAAAATCTTTTAAAACACATTTTGGCATTATTGGTTTTCAAATAGTTACATCGGCTGAAAAAAGGTAAAATAACTAAAATCCCATCCCTAATGATCAGGGACCCGGACCCAAATGAAATTCGTTTCCGAGACAAACGACAAATTTCGATTCGGGTTCAGTTACGGTTCCAAAAAAAATATTTCTGTTCGGTCCATACGGTTTTTTTCGGTTCCAATTTTTTTCCATGTAACAAAGTAAATAAGTAAAATTATAAAATAAAAAATAATTTTTTTGTAAATATTTTTTGGCATGTAATTAAATTACTTTGTTTATTCTTTTTTTCAAATCAGGTTATTCAATTTTAGCCTTTTCATTCTTTACTTTTATTCTCTATCGGCTTGCTAACTTAATCCTTTTCTTCTGATCTTGCGATTGAAAAACTGGAAAATTTGTATTTAAAATAAGTTATCCAAGCATAAATAACTAAACTTTCAGCTTTTGTTATTCTTTTTCTCAAAAAATTCTGTTGATTCTCACAAATAATTGTTCTTCTAATTTTTTCTTTTATGTTTGATCTTGTTGGGAGAAGTTTGTGACCAGAAAACAGCCTTTTAAAGCCTGATTTATAGATTGCCTTCTTTCCTTGCTTCCTTCCTTCCTCCCATAGAAGATGAACAATACAAAAACCGTTGTGTTGTTAAAAGATTCCCGTACAGGAATCCCAACCCAACCTACTCTGGTATTATTTACTTAATGGCGCAGTCGGTAGGATATTTTGTAGTTAAATTAATTAATTACAGTCTTGCCTAGTATTATATAATATATATATGTAAACATATATATATATGTTTACATATGACATTTTTCTTTTTCCAATAAAGGTATTTTAATTTACATTTACAATAATTATTTATACAACATTTACAATTGTTATTAACACAGCAGAAACCCCTAACAATACTTGTGCTTGTGTATAATTTATAGACTTATAGCTCGTGCTCAAATATTTTTTTGCAAAAAGTAATTAAGAAAAAACCGAAAATAACCTAAAAACCGTTTTAAATTTAAAGGGTTCGGGTTCGCTGTCTCGACGAAAAATAACATGGGTTTGGTTACGGTTCCGGTCCACAAATAAATACCGTCTCTATAGTACTATAATAGTAATATTATAAAATTACGTGGCATGGATATATAATGAGGGTTTATAGCACAAAAAAGCATGCCGTATACCGTCGATCGACGTCACGAGCTATACGTGTGAGATAGAAAAACCTGAGATTGGGCAAGGTTGGCCATGTTTCGAAATGTGGCTGAGCATACAAAGTCGATCTTCCTGTTTCTAGTTTCCATGGTAAATGGTTTTAAAAAGAATATTTGACTACCGTTGTCGCCGGATTCTGCGTAAAGTGCTTAAAACATTAGATTTACACTGTTTAAAATATCTGTGGTGTAAAGAGTAATCCTAAAATAGTGTCAAAATCCAACACCAAGTGGTGTTAATATAACACCATGAATTATGGTTGAAAATGAACACCAAAACGGGGTTTATCTAAAAATATTTGAGAAGTGCACCTACACAGAAAAAAAGGAATAGTTCATTTAACTATATTAATTTAGTTGACCCATAAGTATTTATTTTTTGTGGATCACGTGATGTTCTTAAATCTCGCCTCTGTTGACTTACATGAAGAATATATAAGCTCAGGTTGTCCTTTGCTTTGGTGTGACACTACAAGTTGTTCGATACTAGACCTTAAATAGGTTGAAACAGCTGTCAATACTTGAAGTATTTTAAGTTAGTGCAACGCACTAAAAACATTATCTCTAGCGAGTTGAAGGTTCCATTTTCTGGAATAATACCACTGATAATATACTAGTAATGAGTCAAAGAACTTCCTGTTTCCTTTTTTATCCTTTTTTCTGTGTAGTATGATTTAATTTGACCACTAATACATAATATTTAACACTGAAAAGGAGTTCAATTTACACCAGGTAAAATTTATTTTAATACTGTGTAAAAGTTAAATTCACACCATTTTAGTATTTGAATTTACACCATTTTAGTATTTGAATTTACACCATTTTAGTATTTGAATTTACACCGGACCAAGGAACCCTATTTAACACCATTTTGGTTTGTATCGATATAGACCATATATGGTGTTAATTTGGTGTTAAAATGGTCATGAAATTTTGAACAGTGGGTACCTTCACATAAAAAAAGTCGCAGAGGTCTAACTCTTGAAAGCTTGCCAGCCCTTGGCGCGATGTTTGTGCTTGGCACCCATCCTTTACCGATATCAATATTTTTAAATATGGCAGAACAAAACTCTCAATAATTGACAAATTTCAATAGTTTTCCTTTAAAAAGAAAGGATCAATTATGTATATATACCTACTCTTGATAACGCAGGTTTCGCAACGGTCAAATTTTCTTGTTTTTTAAAAAACACCTTTAATAAAATTAAAAATCAACGGCTAAGCCCGCAAGTATGTTGGAGCTGTGATAAACAATAAGAGCGTCGTCGATATCGTTACTAACGATGAAACGTGCTAGTAACGATAGCGACGACGCTTTTATCGTTTATCACAGCTCCAAAAACTCGAGGTCTAAGGAAAAAAATTACAAGTGTAGCAATGCGTCGCTAAGAGAAATTATTAAATATATTGTAAATTTCTCTAAGCGACGCATTGCTACCCTTGGAAATAAAATATCTGTGGTGTGAAGAGTAATCTTAAAATGGTGTCAAAATCCAACACCAAGTGGTGTTAATATAACCCCATGAATTATGGTTGAAAATGTTTTATACAACAAACACCAAAACGGTGTTTATCTAAAAATATTTGAGAAGTGCACCTACACAGAAAAAAAGGAATAGTTCATTTAACTATATTAATTTAGTTGACCCATAAATATTTATTTAAATCAACTGTGGGAAAGTTAATATAAACAAAGATTAGTTTGACGGTACTAAACCAGATAGTTATTTTATTTTTTTTAAATTGGTTAAATTAACCCAGAAAACTTTAGTGAAACCAACCCATGGTTTAGTTTACTAAATATGTTGTTTGTAAAATAAGAGTTACTTCAACCTGTTAAAACGATTAAAACAATTTGCCGTGCATTCCTTGTTGCATAGTGTGTACCGATCGCGGCAAAGGCGGTGTGGATCACGTGATGTTCTTAAATCTCGCCTCTGTTGACTTACATGAAGAGTATATAAGCTCAGGTAGTCCTTTGCTTTGGTGTGACACTACAAGTTGTTCGATACTAAAGAGACCTTAAATAAGTGGAAACAGCTGTCAATATTTGAGGTATTTTAAGTTGGTGGAACGCACTTAAAACATTATCTCTAGCGAGTTGAAGGTTCAATTTTCTAGAATAATACCACTGCTAATATACTTGTAATGCTTCAAGGAACTTCCTGTTTCCTTTTTTTCCTTTTTTTCTGTGTAGTATGATTTAATTTGACAAAAACACATAATATTTAACACTGAAAAGGAGTTCAATTTACACCAGGTAAAATTTATTTTAATACTGTGTGAAAGTTAAATTTACACCATTTTAGTATTCGAATTTACACTGGACCAACGAACCTTATTTAACACCATTTTGGTTTGTATCGATATAGACCATGTATGGTGTTAATTTGGTGTTAAAATTTGTCATTCTTAGGAAGACAATTAAAGATACCTATTAATCGATGAAATATATACCAAATAAGACGATGGAAGTCCAAAACTATTAGCCTATTAACAAAATCAATAATTACCTACTACAAAATTAATTAATTACCTACTAGCAAATATAAAACAATGTTATTCAAAAAAATGTTTCTCTACAGTAAAAAATATTATAAAAAACATATTCATAAAACAGCCTTACTGACTTTTTATCGTAATATACTATTTAGACATTTATGTTGGGCCATAAAACCCAAACAACCATATTATGATGATGATATGCAAATAAATAGCTTATAATTTGTCAGGTGAATATCAGCAATACATGGATGCTTCCCGAGGAGGGTTTTCCGGTGTTTTACCGCCATTTCCGGGACCGGATTTCCTGGTATGAGGCCGATGCAGTATGTCAATTCCATCATGGTAACCTTGTTACTGGTAAGTTATTGTCAACCTAAACATAGTAATTGGCTCAATTGCTAATTAACTGCGCCCAACTTCCCCTATAGCGTATAAACTAGTTATGTTGGTACGTATAATCCCGACACTGATATATTGATTTTAAGAATATTATATATCCATAATGCTAATATTTGATGTAAAGCTAATGGATTACGTACGTTTAGTAGATATAGTTATATCGTTTGACCATGTAAATTTCATTAATGCAGATATTATTAAACACCTACATTTTCTAGATATTTAATTATATACAGAAAAGTTTTTAGAGCACCTGGTAAAAAAATTAGAGATAAAATCTAGTGCAAAAGTATGCATTATTTTTAATCTATTTTTAATCTAGTAGTTTGTAATTATTACAGATATTTTAAAGATTTCACAAAATTCTATGTCAATGTTTCAACTAAACTGCGTACCAATCAAGGTGTCGCGACCAAAAAGTTCTTTATTTTTCAAAACGACATAACTTTTTTGTTTCTTGAATGATTTATTTTGGTCTGTGATGTCTGCTAGCCTCATTCTCTGGCAATTCAGGCTATAGATATAAAGCCCACGGTTCTTCAAGTAAGTTTCCTACAGGGTGATATGTTAAAAATTTCAATAACCTCATTCAAGCCCTGTTTGTAAAAAAAATAATTTTTTTCTCGTTTTTACTTTGAAATAATGAAGTATTATGTCTTACCGTGACTCGATTTTTAAATTTTTCGAATTGGGATCTTAGCAACAAAAATATGATTTTTTTTCAAGAGTACATTTAAGGCTTTTTTGTAGACAATACACTCAGTCTTTTTAGGAACAAAAAGATAATATGGTGAAAGATTGTTCCTTAAATAATTCTGAACAAGCTACAAGCAACAAACTTCCATTATTGTCAGAGGGCCTAAACAAAGACCACTTTTTCAAAATAACATTATGGTGAAAATTTGCAAAAACTAAACCTAAACCGATATTTACGTTCGTGACATGTTTTCTTAATAATTTTGACCTCCTGATTGTGATTCAGTTGTCAAATTTAAGTTTCAGATAAAACCAAAATCACCAAGAATCAAAATTCTAAAACAATTCCCGGCTGTTAAATGTCTCAATAAAATACGATTACTGTGTTTTGCATCTTTAGTACGTCGCTGGATGATCAAATCGAGGATCAAATGATAAAAATTAGTTGTTGAAAAACATTCAAAACGTATTATGAGCCCTGGATATTCTTGATTTTTTCAGTTTGCTTGTGTTTTTCCAAATTTCGAAGTTTTTTTGCATACGTTATACCTACCTGCAGTAGAAACCACCAATATATGAACTCATCGGACTCATCGGGTGCCGAACATATCTCATACATGCTAGCAGTAATGTTTTACTTGTCTTGTACAGTTACGGAAAGAAGTAATGTCCATTTGAATGCTCCATTGTAATTGTTCGGAGACATTCGGAAACATCTGCCTCTGAGGGATTTGCTACCTGCTCGTATTGAATTAATTATTTTGGGTATACCCAATACAGTTAAATATGTAAAATATATTTTACATATTTAACTGTATTTTTATTAAATCGTTAATTTTTTGATATATTTTTGCATAGTTTTATAAACATTTATTCTTATTTTTTCATATTAATATTTTAAATTTTTATATTAATATTTTAAATATAGGACAAATTTTTAAATATTTGATACAAAATATCGAATATTTATTTTTAAAGCACTTCAAAAATATTGTTCAGAATCTCAAAAAAATGGTCCTGTTAAAATTTAAGCTCTTAATATTACTTTTACGGGTCCTTCATCGGGAATTTTTATTTCCCATTAAAATAATAAGAGATTTTTTTAAAATACTTTAAAATAGTTTAACTCGGATTAGTAAAACTGAAACAAATTTTGGTAGGGCTCTTTTAAAAGGTATTCAAGGTAAAAGTTGAATTTATAGAAATTTTCAAGATTTTCAAACTTTTTCAGCGAAACAAAATTTATGGTAAAATTTAGTAGGACCCTTTTTTAGGAAAATATTATCTAAAACCATGAGCAAAGAAAGCTGCCTTTTTATTTAAAAAGAAATGGTAAATAATTACATTAATAAATGAGGAGAATCCGTGCAAAACCGGCTATATCCACTTTAATAAAATTTTGGGAAAATGGCAAAAACTCGGTTTCCTGGCCTTTACAGATAAAAGAAAAAGCAAACTTGAGTTTTGTGGGCTTTGTGGTACTTGATTTATAAGACATACTTTCGTTTTCAAAAACTTTATATTAAGGCCAAAATTTCAAAAAATGTTTTGTATATAGCCGGTTTTGCTCAAAAACCGAATAAAAAACGAATAAAATGTGAAAAAAGACCTTTATTATTCAAAAATATTAACAAAATAAATTTAGTGCAAACATAAAAAATCAGAACAAATTTTATTAGTAGTTTCGACATATCCAAGCCACATGCTCATCATCATTATTATTTATTGGATATAGCCGGGTTTGCTATAAAAGCGTGGATTTGGCCGGTTTTGCTCCTAAAGCTACCTTTTAAATGTGATTTTAACATGGATATAGTCGGATTTAAACAGAATTATCTTGGTTGTCGATAGAAATGAACCCAAAGATGCGAAATCAAAAAAAAACAAAAACTGAATAAAATGGATTTAGCCGGTTTTGCACGGATGCTCCTCAATTATAGTTGAAGCATGGCATTCCCAAAGGGTTTGGACCAAATTTGGTCAAATATTATATTATAATTTAAAAATAGTCTATGTGCCATGCAAAACGACTAAAAAAAATTTCTCCATATTATTTTTGTATTTTAAAGATGGATGGATTTTCATTGATTTCTCACAATTTTATTTTTGACACTCAGAGCCTTTGGGAATACCAAGTTAAATTATTATAATAATTATAAATTTATGCCGTTTCCATATTTTATTGGAATTTCATACATTGAAATAAGTTGGTATTGGGCATTCATAAAACAAGTAATGAAAACTAAAATGTTGATGATAGTATATTATTATTTATTATACGAGAGATAATGCAGGCTATTATTCAAAAGGATAAGGTTTGCATGTCGAGCCGTCAGGCGAGATACGTAATTCATCCGAGTAAATAATGCGCATTATTTCGAGTGTAATACTATGTTTTTTCTACTCCAATTAAGTAATTTTCATTGATAACAAAATTTATTATAACCTCACTTTTCTCCTATTTTAAAGATCCTTATAGTCGCCCCTCGTATATATAAATAAATCTGACATCTGTCAACCTTACTTTTTTCTAATTTAAAATCCGATTGGTTCAAATAACAGTGAATATTAAAATAAGCCAATCACTGATACCTAACAACGTAAATATAATAATAATATAATATAATTCACTTTGATAGGCCGGGCGGTTATATTGGTTACCATTATTTACGCAAAAAAAAAACAAAAAATTTCAATAATATGCAATAGAAGTAGAAAAACGTATTAATAGTGCACAAAATGCATTTTAGTTTAATTTATAATTATTTTAGTATTAAATGTATATGTATATTTCATTTAAATATATTGTTTTATTAATAACAACTTATTAAATAATATATAGTTTATTTAATAAGTTATAGAACATATATTTTATTTAAATTATTTCAGAATCAATGTTATTCCTTAAATATTTAATTATTGCATAAAAGCTTAAAAGTCAAATGAAATTTGCTTAGAAAGAATGGTAAATAGCAGGTAGGTAGAATTATTGAGTTTAAAAATAGATATGTTAATTTTATTAGCAAAACCCGAATGCCTCCGAACAATTACAATGGAGCATTCAAATGGACATTACTTCTTTCCGTAACTGTACATTCGATGCAACGGTAAATGTACTCACACGTAGGTTTTTAAGCATCCGGTCTAAAATGCGCCATCTGTGATGTAAAACTGCCTAGGTGTTCGACAAAGATGGACATATGACGCGTGTCCTAGCTTGTTACTTAATTTTGTTGGAATTCAGTAGAGTTCGTGTTTTAGGCATTTTATTTTATTTTATTACATAGTAAGGCAACCAACTATTATAATACCGTCGGCCATTTGTTTTTATATGTCATATGATCTTTGTTTTTGCATATCGTGTTTCTGCTGTGTGTTTACGGATTAATAATCGTTTTAAACGTTGTAGTGGCAGGTTTGTTTTTATATGTCATATGATCTTTGTTTTTGCATATCGTGTTTCTGCTGTGTGTTTACGGATTAATAATCGTTTTAAACGTTGTAGTGGCAGTGGTTTATATTATGTAACACAGGTAGATGTCGTATAAAAATCCTTACCTAGAAATTCTAGGCTAGAATACAAAAATATTTTTATTATATAAATTTTGTACTAGTATTAGTGATATACTAATGATATACTAATGCAAATCTCTTTCAGGACGCCTAGATTTCATTAGTCACGCTCAGACATAAATAATGCAGACAATGGGAGCGCCTGACTTATTATAGTCAGAACGTTCCCATTCCCCTGCTAGATAAAGTAAAGGCCGCTGGCGGACCCATACTCACCCACCCATACCTTACCACATCCTAGACTAACTATGCTATAGTTTTTCCACCCCCACCCATGTATTCCATCCTCAAAGTAAGGGCTAAGGGTCACTATGACCCGTCCTTTGCTAGGGCAACAAGCCCAGTTTATTCATTTGGAGGCTACAGTTTTTTTAGTATTAGTTTAATACATTCTGAAAAAGCTACTGTGTACCGAAACAATTGTCAATATTTAATAAATTTCGTGAAACTAACGCAAGTTGTTTTTATATCCACACAATTTAAATATCTTTCACTTTGTACCTGACCTGCGTAAACATTTTTGTTTTTTTGTCTAGAATTCTAAAATATTTGCGTTTACAGTTAAAAGAATAGTATATTCTGTAACAAGTTTGGAATACGGCATATTCCGCTCGAGTGAAAAGTTTGACGGTTTCACGAGAGGGGAATATGCAATTCCAAACGTGTTTCAGACTATACTTTTTCTACGT